TATATATATATATATTGTATATAATATATTGTATAAAAGATAAAAATATTTGTTTGTTTTTTTTTGTCTGTTTTTAGTAACAAAGAGGTGCCTATACACCCCAATTGTCTCTTTTTGTCTCCTTTTTGCCAACATAGAAAAAAAATCCTTGTCTCCTTTCCCTTTTCTTTTTTTTTCTTCTTTTTTCTTCGTTTTTTTCTTTTCTTTTTTTCTTTTCTTTTTTCTTTTCTTTTTTCTTTTCTTTTTTCTTTTCTTTTTTCTTTTTATTTATTAGTAAAGGGTTTAGGGTTTTGCGGTGTATGCGCACCTTTATAACACCTTTATTGCCATTCAGGTGTCTCTCCACCGCTAAACCCTAAACCCTAAACCCTAAACCCTAGGGTTTATAGCCACTGCTTTCCGGGCATAGCCGTCGGTTATCCCGCTTTAGACTAAGCCCATCATTCGCGAGCGGTATAAAACCCTAAACCCTAAACCCTAAACCCTAAACCCTAAACCCTAGACAGCGGCGCATGCAGCCCCAAATAAGAAAAAAGAGCTACATGGCCCAATTAACATCAGCCCCCTCTCTTACCATAACGACTAGCAGGGTTTGGCCTAAAGGGTTTAGGGTTTGGTGCAGTACCGTGTCTAGTTATTCTTCCTCTATGCTCAGGCAAAACCCTAGGACTCGTATGTCCTGCTGCTGCTGCTGCTGCAGCAGCAGCAGCAGCACGCTGCATCTGTGCATATTCTTCTGTCTGCTTAAATGCCGCCATCTCCGCCTCTAATCTCTCGGCTTGGCGAGCCCTGACACACAAAACCCTAAACCCTAAACCCTAAACCCTAAACCCTAAACCCTAAACACTAAAACACTAAAACACTACCTCAGAAAAGGTAGAAAAAAAAGACTTTTTTATCTCATCTCCTAGCTTCCTCTGCCAGTTACCTACGCAGCTAGCTAGCTAGCTAGCTAACTACATAAACAGCTAGCTAGCTAGCTAGCTAGCTAGCTAGCTATAATACATACCTAGCCTCCCTTAGCCTTGCTTGTCTTCGCTCATCCTCAATACTCTCTCTTACTGCCCCTCTCTCCGCTGCTGAGCCCCTGCAGCAAACAGGAGACACAGCAGCAGCAGCAGCAGCAGCAGACACTCCAGCAGCAGCAGCAGCAGCAGTAAGAGACGCAGCAGCAGTAGCAGCAGCACTAGCAGCAGCAGGAGCAGGAGCAGGAGCAAGAGCAGCAGCAGCAGCAGCAGCAGCAGCAAGAGTTATTTACGTGGTATAAGAAAGGAAGAGGTATAAGGCACCGAAGATGAATATATAGACAATAACAGCAGATAGCCATTGTTTATTATTTCCTTCTTCTCCTTCCTTATATAAATAATTAAATAATAATAGCATTTGTATTAATTAGGTGCCTATACACCCAAACTTTTACCCTTTTTTATGGGCTATTCGTGCAAAAAATTTCAGGTGTATAGGCAGCTCCGTTGCTGCATGGTAGGTAACCAAAAAAAATTGTTGGGGTGTATAGGCAGGTATATATAAGTATAAAAAGAAATAAAAAAATAAAAAAAAGAAATAAAATAAAAAAGAAAGAGAATTAATTGTTTATATTTACAGAAAAAAGGAACAAATATAAATAAACAGCAGCAGCAACAGCAGCAGCAGCAGCAGCAGCAACTGCAGCAACAATCCTGTGTCCTACTATACAACAACTACGGCCTGCTGCTCTCCTTATATATATATATTCAGGTGTACGTACACCTCAATAAGACGCAATAAATAATAAATAAAAAATAAAAAAATAAATATAAATAATAAATAATACTTTTTTTCTTCTTTTCTCTGCAGCAGCAGATAATACATAAATATATAGTATGTAGTATGTATGGGGCTGCAGCCAACGGCAGCAGCAGCAGCAGCAACAGTAGCTGCAGCAGCAGCAGCAGCAGCAGCAACAGCAGCAGCAGCCAACAGCAAGCATGCACAGCATAAGCTGCATATATTATAACCCTAATTGTTTACCTGCTGCCATAACTAAGGGTTTGTTGCTTGGGCTTCGTACCTCTAAACCCTAAACCCTAAACCCTAAACCCTAATTGTGCCAGCCCTCCTCTCGGGTGTACAGACAGACACCCAAGGAGGAGTGGGGGCCCCCCTCTCCTGCTGCAGGGTATGGAGGAAATTAAAATAGGGGAAAAATAAAACAGCAGCAGCAGCAGCAGCAGCAACAGCAGCAGCAGCAGTAGCAGCAACAAGTCCTAGGGCATCAACAGCAGCAACAGCAGCAACAGCAGCAGCAGCAGAAGCAGCAGCAGTCAAAGTAATAGTAGCAGCAGCAGCAGCAGCAACAGCAGCAGCAGCAGAAGCAGCAGCAGCAAAATAGTTTGCTGCAAATGTCGCGGAGGCGCGGCACCCCTGGTGGGGGTGAGGAGGACTTAAGGGACAGAGACGCAAAGGAGACCCCAACAAGCAGCAGCAGCAGCAGCAGCAGCAGCAGCAGCAATAGTCGTGGTATAGGACGTAGTAGTTCAGACAAGAAGTCTGCAGGTCACAGCAGCAGCAGCAGCAGTAGTAGTAGCAGCAGCAGTAGCAGCAGCAGCAGCAGCAGTGGTCGTAGTCGTAACTGGGGTGACGGAAGCGATTGGCAGCAGCAGCAGCAGCAGCAGCAGCAGCAGCAGCGTCGTCGTAGTCGTAGTGACAGTCGTGGGGATCGGGATCGTCGTGATAAGTATAGGGATCGGGATCGGGATCGGGATCGGGATCGTCATACAAATAGAGAGAGAGAAAGAATAAGAGACAGGGATCGTTATAGAGAAAGGGATCGGGATCGGGATCGGGATCGGGATCGTGATAGGGATCGTGATCGGGATCGGGATCGGGATCGTATACGATCCCGTCGGGATCGATCCCGGGATCGTGATCGATCCCGGGATCGGGATTTGGACTGGGACCACCGGGACTCAGAAAACAGCAGCAGCAGCAGCAGCAGCAGCAGATTACGTAGAGAAGAAAATAGTGCAGCTGCAGCAGCAGCAGCAGCAGCAGCAGCAGCTGCTGCTGCTGCTGCTTCTACTGTTCCCCCATATGGAGAGACAGTAGCTATATGTGGTGTACCTATAGAGGCAACAGAGGAGGAGATAGAGGAGACAGTTCGTTCTTTTTGTATAAATAAGCAATTCTCTATACCGGAGACAGTTAGATTAAATATAATTAATTTATTTACTATTAATTCTTTTTGTTTACCTAATCATCAATTGTCTCCTTATTTAATTAAATGTCTCCTTTCTACACCTACACCTGCAGCTAATTCAGCAGCAGCAGCAGCAGCAGCAGCAGCACTACAAGAAGGTGGCACTATTAAGGAACAAGAATTCCTGCAGCAGCAGATGCAACTACAGCAATTACAGCAGCAGCAGCAACCGATACAACTGCAGCACCAACAGCAGCAACAGCAGCAACAGCAGCAGCAACAGGAAGGAGACGATTTGCTGCTGCGTGTTGCATTTATTGATTTTCCTTCTGTTGCTGCTGCGCATAAATTCGTTAAATGCTGCAAAGGAGACACTTTTGCTGTTGCTGGTAGATTATGTCCTGTGCTGCTGCTGCTGCAGCAGCAGCAACAGGATCCAAGGGATGCAGCAGCTGCAGCAGCTGCAGCAGCAGTAGATGGATCCTCTTCATCTGATTGGATCTGTACCTCTTGTGGTGCCTCTAACAGCAGCAGCAGCAGCAGCAGCAGCAGCAGCAGCAGCAGCACTGTTCGTTGCATGCACTGTGGTACAAAGTGTCTCCGTGAGAGTATCAGCACAACAAACAGCAGCAGCAGCAGCAGCAGCAGCAGCAGCAGCAGCAGCAGTTTGAATGACCACAGCAGCAACCACCATCACCACCACCATCACAGCAGCAGCAGCAGCAGCAGCAGCAGCAGCAGCAGCAGCAGCAGCAGCAATATGTTAGAGGAGGACAGGGAAGGAGGATGGGGGACAGCTGGTCCTGTTAATCCTTCTTCCTCTCTTTGTGTCTCTGATTTGCTGCTGCAGCATTTTGATGAATTGCTGCGCTCCCTTAGAAGAAAATTACGTCGCAGCAGCAGCAGCAGCAGCAGCAGCAGCAGAACATCATCATCAAGTAGCAGCAGCAGCAGCAATAATAATGATATAATTAGTTGGGTAGTAGTTAAGGATAATATTAATTCTCCTTCTTCTTCTTCTTCTTCCTCCTCCTCTTCCTCCTCCTCTT